AGGTTAAACTCAATAACATTATAATTACCAATGTGGTATTAGACAATAACATTACTTTAACATAGTAAAAACAAACTCAGCAAAGTGTAAGTACCAAATAAAAGTTAGTACCATTGGAGAGAAAAAGCAAACTGCGTCAAAACAACGTGGGGAAGGATTGAAAGTGAATGAGTACAACAAATACTACCAGTAACATGTTAATCAGCCAATGTTCAGCTTGTGCTGTATAGAGGAAAAAAATAGGCACAAAACTAAAAAACATAAATAAAAGTTCGGTGTGACATTTTTCAGTCATTATATTTGACATTAGTCAGAACCTTATTAAAATTGTGTTCCATTTTGGGAGTCCACAACAATAAAAAAATTTGTTGAGCCCTTGGGGAACTTACAAAGTATAGTCACATAGACAATGAAAGACTGGAAAAGACAGCTAAAGGAGAAAAGACAAAGAAGTGAATCAATTTCATTTAACTATGATGAACAATACTTCTAAACATGCTCAAGAAAGAGCCCAGTATTGAGAATCCTGAAACTATCCCAGCATTACTCCAAGGCAAGATTCAGGAGCTAATATGTGGGCAGCAACAAACATTTGGTGGTGAGCAGTCTAGACTCTGGGCTCCAAATCAAGTTTAAGTTGTCTTTCAACCTGACCTGAGAACAAGTTCAGGGCCTGATACAAAAATTAATCCCGCCCCACATTCAGACAAAGGCTGAATCTCAAATCTCAAGGACTTGGCAGAACCGAACAAGATGACATCTTGAAGTTCCCTTTAGGACAGTAAGACTTCAGATTGGAGCTGTGAGTTCTTCTCCACCCAGATTTGCTTGGTCATAGATCTACCACTGATGACCATCTATAGCACCACTAGACTCACACATCTCAAGGCAAATGTTTACCACTCTGTCTGAGCATCTTCAAGATAGGAATATAATGTCTATGTGCTACTACCGAACGCTCACGGGGAAGATTGTGGGAATTCATCATCTGTAAGAATGCTTTGCTCTTTCAGTGTTAAATTCCAAATTTTACTGTAGCCTGGAAGGCTTTGCATGATCTGGCCCCTGAACTCCCCTACTCCCTGCTTCTCCCATCCCCACCAGCCCCTCCTATATCTTCCGCACCTATCCTTGCTCAACCTGCCCCAGTCATACTGACTTTGTGCGTTCTTCACTCCAGCTCACTCCCACCTCAGAACACTTGCTCTTGCTTCTCCTCCTTCAAAATCACTCTTCCCTGAAATCTTCCCTCTGCTTCCTCTCTTACTTCACATAGGCCTCTACTTAATGTGACTCCTCAGAGAGGCCTTCCTTCTCTGCCCCACGATCCAGACTAGCACCAAACACACTTGTTCTGTCACTCTTTATCTCCTTTCCCCACTGTTATTTTTTCATGGCTGCTATTGCTCACAAAAAATATATTTTAATTTGTTTTGTCACTTTATTTATTTTGTCTTCCATGACAGTATGAACTACATCAAGGGAGAGAGCTCGTCTCAGCTGTTCTGTTGCTGTATCCCTAGTTTAGTATCTGGTATATGGTAGATGCTCAAAATATTTTTGCTAAATAAGTGAATGAATAAATATAGGGGAGTTTGAAATATTTAGTAAATAGATTATTAGAATCCTAGAGCTTTCAAATTTGTCTGGTCCACTTTGTTCTCCCTGATGTCACTGGAAATGCTACACACTAAACAAAGCATGGGCCTGCTGAATATACTTATTTAAAAATGGGAAAACTGACGTCCTTTTTAAGTAAATTTGCTTTTCAAAACATCACTGTTTTTTAGAAGTTTAAAGAACCAGGAATATGTCCAGAGGCCCACCTATTTCAACATTTATGCACAGATTTTAATGTTACTAAATCACCTGGGCAATCCCTTAGAGTTCATCATAATTGCAGCTTTCGAACCACATATTCAGCTATTTTTGCTACAATGCATTAATAAAAGAGTCATACTAGCTGCTTATTATGAGACTTTAAATCTATATCTCTTGGTAGTCTGGGAGCCTGCTAACTTAAAATTAAAATGCTTTATATAAAATATGCTCTAACTAGAGTAATTTATTGTCCATATTTGGATACTTTTGAGTGTTAAAGGGAGGCACTATTAATTATCATGCTGGAAAAATGAGAGTAAACCAGGATTTCTATGTTAGTGCGTAGCTAGATTAGCTAGATGTAGACATAAATTATAAGAACAGAATTCTCAACTAGACAACAAATTAAAATCTTCCTCTGTGCACAGAAATTCTGAAAAGTCTCATTTCTTTGTGAAGTCATCCTTGAAGGATGAGGGGGAATGCAGAGAGAAATATAATTTTAATCGCTGTTAAGAAATTATGCATTCAGAGGCATTCAATCAAACTATCTAATGCTCTCTAAAGATTTATCTGATCAGCAAAGTACAGGCGGAGCTTCAAGAAAATACTAGGCTTCTTTCTTAAAGCTAAAGATAATACAGCTCATCTGTAGACATTTTCTCGCATTATTACAGTATGGGAGGAAACAGAAGGGCAGTTCCTTATCACAGTCCTATAAGTTGTTGTAAGTTAGGTGATTTTTTGTGTGTGTGATCACTTTGCCTTACATTGTGCCTAAAGACAGATTTCAGCACCTTCTACCTGTTCAGCCATAATTTAGTTCAATTCTTCTGCCAGTCTTCCCTCACCTCTAAACTCCTAACGCCTTTGTATGTGCTCCCCCAGTTACCTCACTGTGAACGATCACTTTATGTTCCAGGTTATCGACGTCTGTCTGGCCCTTAATTCAAATCCATGATCTGAGTCTCCCTGTGTCTAATAAGAGCAGATACTATTTTCTACTCTAACCACCATACCATGTTCCCTGGATGTCCCAGGGAAAGTTGCCCAAAGCAGTCTTTTCTAATCCTAACACTGAGAATTGGACTGAGCATTATTTTTTTTATGAAGCTTTGATATAAAAGAAAAAGAAATCCAATATTACCATCTGACTGGTTCTGCCTGAGTACACAACCCTACTTCTTAACACAGGCTCAAGATTCCAAATCTGTTAACCCTGTCATTCCAAATACTCAACTGGACGCAAAACACCTTTTCATGATGATCCCAATACTATACATTCGTGTAATGCTCACAGACTTTCAACACTTGCACTTATATTTTCTCACTTAATACTCAGGCTAGGAAGCTCTCAGAGTCATTATTATTATCTCCATTTCACATATGGAGAAATTGTTTACTTACAGCCCTGCTCTCCACTCTAGCTACTAGTAAGCTAATCCTGATGATGCATTATCTATCTTGGGCAAAATGTTTGCAGTTTAATAAGGGCTTCTTAAAGCAATGTAAAGACATTTTCAAAAGCTTTTATTTAAGCTCCATTATAGGTTTATTAGGGAATACTTGGAGGTGATTATAAATTTACTAAAATGTATTGAGCATTATCCATGTGCCAGACACTATATTGTTTTACGTAGATTGTCTCATTTAATCCTTTCAACTCCGTGAAGTATAGAATCTTATTATATCACTAATCTTAAAAAGTTTAATAAGTGGCAAAGCAGAATTTGAATTCCACAGTCTGAATCCAGAGCCCACACTCTAAGTAGTCTTCTAACGATCCCTTAAAATACAACATATGGGCAACTTATTTTTATTATAATATAAAACATTTTATAATATAAATATAAAATATTTTATAATATAAAACAAAAAAATAGTATGTGGCACTTTACAGCTTAAAGGCAATTGCTCACACACTTATCACACACTTATCTAGGCATAGGCTTGGGAGCCAGTCAGATTTGTAATCCAGCCCTGACAGTATCATTTACAAGCTGTGTTACGTTGGACACATCACCTTGTGTTCTCTCTGTAAAATTTAAAAATACCACCCACCTTACAGGAGGTTGTGAGGATTGGGGATAATATAGCTATGTGCTCGTATTAACTACTATTATAAATAGTATCAAGGTATATATTATTATTGTTACTGACTACTCTGAGTTCAGAATTATTATATCCCTATTTTACAGCTGAAGAGACAGCATCAGAGCAATTATGAGTTGCCTCAAATTACAAAACTTGTAAAAGTTGGAACAAGATTCAAAGCCAGGTCCACTGGTACAAGAACAGTATTATTTTTTCATTGCACCTTTATGTGTGGACCTATATCATGATTATGGCTTGTGATTCTCTTATTCTGTTGCCACTGCACACCAGCACATGAATTGAAACAGAATCCATTTCTAATAATTCACTCAGGTTAGTTTCATAACTTAGATTTAGCAGATGATCAGGTAGGTACATAAAACCTTTCCCAGTTACTCTTCAACTTTCCTGTTCACATTTTATTGTTTTTACAAAACTATTATTTGTCAGTTATTTAATTTACTCCTATTAAGACATGGATGCAAAATAGCTTTTGGCCTAAAGTAGACATGTTTGACCAAATGGATTTGAATCACTAGAATATAACCTCCGAGAAAGGAAGGATCTTTGTTTTGTTCACTGATATATTTCAAGCTCTTACAGCAGTGGATACAGATGTATCCCAAGCTCCTGACACAAAGCAAATGCTCAATTAATATTCATTATGTGACTTAGTGCTGCATGTTAATTTAGCAAATGTAAAGTAGCTCATGCTTTTCAATGACATAAAACTGTTTTTCTATTCAATCTTTACTTAAAAATCACTAAAGCAGACAAGTGACAGCCACAAATTTCTCTGACCTATGAAAAGTCTGGGTACAAACTGCTTGATAAGTGAAGGAAGAAGACTTTAGAAAGTATCCACGAATTTCTTCTGTTCCACTTACCTTGCTGAATTATGAAATCATCAGATTGAATGCCATTATAATTTCCACATAGGCCACATGGTTTCCCTTTATGGTCCTCAGACAGTTTGAGGTAAATTCCAGATATTCCATCCCAAGCCAATGAAAAGCCAAAGGTTGTTTTCACCAGAATGTAGTCAGCTAGTTTCTCAATGAAAACCTGTCCAATTGTCTGAGGCAATGTTAAACTTGAAAAATAGAACAAAGGTAATCTAAGAATGATCATGAAGGATCATTTAGAGATGATGTATTTTTTTCTTGAAGTGGCTGAGATAATTAACAGACACATTACTCAAAATTATGGAATGAACTATGCAGCAAGATTTCCAATGCAAGTATCATATAGGAAATACCAACATTTTTTAAAACTTCAGTATTGAAATAAAAAGACAACAAAAATGATACTGTTCTCCCATATTGATTTGGATTTTATACTTATAATTAGATACTTTTTTGAACCAACCGAAAACACACAGCTACTAAATATCAGTGATTTTTTTTTAATCTGGAGAATAACCTTGCCTATTTAGAATAGTTATGGATTAAATGTGTTTATTTTTGATCTAGAGAGGTAAAGATAATCAAAAAATGCTGCTCAACAATTTTGAAGTAAGGACAAACAACGGTCAAAATATGTAGATGTATTGCTTGATCTCTCGTTTTATTTAATTTTATTTTAAATGTGGCCATAAGGAAATAGGAGTTTCTATCTCCAAAATGCCACTTTGGCATAAGTCATTGTTTTCTAAAAGAAAAATGCATAAAGTTGATTAATTAAAATTTACATTTTTAATGATGCTAAATACATTATTAGGGATATAATATGCTTTGTTATACAGTATTGCATAGGGGTTATATTCATAATGTGTTAATTGGATACAATTTGGCCTATTTAAATAAGGGTCACGGAATATTTAAGCTCCTGATCCAGTGTCTAATTTTTCCATTTTTCACAAAGTATATGCACATATAAAGGATGTGGGAGACATAAGGGAACCGAAGAAAACTTAACAATTGAACATTTTAAAAGCACAGTAAGTCACCTAGAATACTTTTTGAAAGAACACTGTTCTCCTTCCATCCATGAGTATTGCAGAAAAGAGCAGGTACTAACAATTAAAGAAATTAGGAAAAAAACTCATTTCTGTAAAGGTAGCTATATCAAATAAAAACTATAAACCATAATGCAAATAAGATAGGTGGTTAATAGTTATATTCATACATTTCTCTCAAAAATTTCAAATTAGTGAGCTTCTTTCCAGGAAAAGCATGGCTACATGGAATAAAAACCATGAAACTAAACGAACTAGTTAATGAAGGGATAATCATTAAAGAAATAATTCAAAATATCTGTAACCATTTGCGCAAAACTTTTTTATAGATAATTATTTACAGAAAATGAGTTATAAAAATAGGAGAATTACTAAAAATTTAAACTGGAGAATAAAAAGACTCTAGCTAACCAGTTCCATATTTTTATTAAGAATTATGAATATGAGGAATTATGGAATACAACTTGTTTGAGTTTGCAAGTTTATGAAAACTATACTTGAAAAAAAGTGAATCATGTTTTATAAATATACTTCATAGTAACGGAATGCTAATTTTGTGGAAGTATAGTTGTTCTATTGTGGGTATTTTTTGGGGGGCATTGGTCACTTGTCACTCAGTTATTTAGTCTCTTTCATAGTAAATTCAATTAAATACATAATTTTTAAAAAGAAAGGTAGATAATTGTGATTATCCCAAAATTTATAACAGAAGAATATTAGTGGAGATGGGGAATGATAGTTAAAACTACATAAACTCCAAAAAGTCGAAGAAAACCATACAACCTAGGCAGGAAACATCAAAATGCAAACTAAAATGAATGCACAGATTAATGCTGAAAAGTTCTCAGGGATTCATTTGTACCAAAACCCCTTATTTCACAGGTGAGAGAACTGAAATCTAGAGAGGCAAAGCTTAATGCACAGAGCCACACACATTTAATTTCACCTTGGCAAATATTCCTCAAGCACTTGCTGTGAGTTAGGCTCTCGGCCAGTAACAGCATTAGTATAAACAACATTGCTGAATAATAAGAAAATCACCCTTTTTCTATCATACAGACAGAAATTCTTATAGAAGTGCTTTCTCTGAGTTAAAATTAAATATTATGTCCCTGATTTAATAAAGGATTAATATTCTTGAAAAGCTATGTGAATGGCATCTCTGTTTTATAAAACATAATAGTTTTTAAAGTGTCCATTGTATTCCAAAATCCCATACAGAGAATCCTAAGTTACTATATAAATTCAGCTCTAGGAAATACATGTATAAATGCATCATCTCCCTATTCAAATGCCTAAGCTTTATTTTATAGGAAAATGAGAAGTACAGAACCCAACTGATCAAGAAAATAAGCCTCAGAGAGTGGGAGGTGCTGCTCTGGTTGCCCGATTGTGACAAAGCTCCCCTGGTAGCCCTTTCTGCTGCCTCTGCAGGAATCCAAAGCGAGAGAATGCAACATGGGTTGATAAGGCCATTATGCTGGAAAGAATCCCCACGGTTTAAACACTTGCTAGTGAATTCCGAATGATGGATAGAATTGTTCCATCCCACAATTAACTTCTTCTGGTATAACTCAGCCAGGAAACATTTAAAATTGAGTGTCCATATAATTATTTAGATTGGAAGGTAGATTATTCCAGTTTTTTTAGTTCAAAATGTATAAAGCCTTCCGCCAGATACATAAACATCCCCTTCCCCAAAACTCTCAGGTCATATTCTTGGCAGATAGGAAACCAGAATTGGGCTCCCCTCTGATTCAAGGCCAGTCATTTATTGGCTCTGCGTCTATTAAAACTTCAGTGGAAAATCTCAAGTGACACCCAAACCTCCTTCACAGAACCTTGGAAAGAACTTCCACAATCCTTTTTAATATAAAATAAAATAGATTTTTAAAGTTCCTGCTTTAAGGAAAAAAGAAAAGATGTAAGAAAAAGCAAAAATAATCAAAGAGTTGAGCTATAAAGATAGCTCTTGAATCTCTCAGAAAAAAATGTGATATTCTTATCTCCACCTGTGTAAACATATTTGTATTCTGCACAAGTATTAGAAAGGTTAAAATGGTTATATTCCTGACCACATATCTGTCCGTTGAGTCTACCCAAGTTTTGATATCTGTGTGAGATCATTTAAGGGTATTGTTGAGGAAAAAATTCTCTCCTGCTACTCTCCACAATTCACTTCCAGTGTGAGATGTTTGGAAATTCTATTAATCTGTAGTATTATTTCCATTATATCATTTATCATATCCTACCTGATTCCATTCTTTTTTATTTCATGACCATAAATTCGAATTTCCTCTTGGTTTGAAAAGAACAAGCTGATTGACCGATAACAAGAATACACTGAACCAAGGCATTTAGGGCTATTATGAACCTTAAAGGGACAAAAACAAAAAGAAGGCATAGGAATAAACGACAACAAGTAGTACACATTTGAGCTACTAAAACCACAATGTATATTTACAGTTCTATAGCATCATCAGTCCCATGACACTTTACACAGTTATAATTACATTTAGGATTTTTGAGAGAAAAGAAATATTTACCTCAGAAATTGGACAACAGAATTAATTTCCTAAAATACAAGTTAATCAGCATATTTTTTAAATGATCTGAATCATTATATGTTGGATGTTAATATTCTCAAGCTACATGGTATATATTGGAAGAAATTAGTTCTGATAATAAAACTGTAGAGCACCACAAAGAAGCACACTTGTCATTTTTATGTGTTTTTTTTAGTGAGAGAATCATAAAACAGCTTCAAATGGAGCTCTACACAAAGCAATATTAAAAGCTGAAAAAGTGACCATGAACTCACTAAAAATAAAATTAAGTTTAAATTTATTTATTTATCCTAGATACTTTAGGGAAAAGAGAGATTGTTTTTCAAAAAGTTTATGGGAAAACTAGTTTACTAGTAAAAAGAAAAAAGAAAGCAAGGAATAAAAGAAGAGAGGAATAAAGGAAGAAAAGAAAAGAGGAATAGTAGATTTTTTTTACCCTATATTAAAGGTCCAAAAATTAAAATATAAATGATAAAACCATAAAATAACTAAAGGAAAACACACATAATTGCATAGGTGGAAAAGAACTTTCTAAGCATAAAAGTAATAAGAAAAATGACCAATAATATATTTTTAAATAGTGTCATAATCTCATGCATATTAACTTTATGCTTAATCAGCAAATTTTATTGATCACTTACTATATACCAAGCATTGTTCTAGATTCTGGGGATACAGCAGTCAACAAAACAGACAAAATATCTGTCCTCATGAAACTTATATCTCTTAGAGGAAGACAGTTAATGAAAAATATACCTAAATATAACTAAAATATATACTATGTGAGATTACATTAAGGAAAAATATTAAGCAGGGAAAGTGTGTGTGTGTGTGTGTGTGTGTGTGTGTGTATCAAGGTTTAGGGGACAATTTCAGACTGAATGGCCAAGGAAGGCTTCACTGAGAAGGTGAAGGAGTAGGAGAAGAAGCCACAGGAGATATCCCGAAGACCATTGTAGGCAGAGAATAGCAAGTACAAAAGCCTGAAGTAGGAGTGTGCCTAAAATATTCTCATTATCCAGGATTCCAGGCATCCGACCTCACATGAGATGTTGGAAGATTCTTCTTTAGAGAAAGAAAATGGTGGAAAAAATACACATACTAATATGTGGGGGCTTATTTAATAAAAGCAGAGGATCCTTCCTCAATCTCATACCAGCCCAACAGGCCCCCATCCATATAGCCAGAGTTTTCTAATCAGCTTTTAGAGCCTTATTCTCAAATGTGAACAAATATTCATGAATCATTAGTCATTTGATGAAAGTCTGCAACATGAAAGACAAATAACAAATAAAAGAAAAAAAAATCAAGGAAATCAAAAACAATCAGGAAAAATAAGGAAAGTTCTAAAAATCCACAACTCATATCTTCAGAGAGAAAAGTGAGTATATACCATCCATGAAATAGGAATAAAATGCTACAAAAAATAAAATTGGAAGAATAAAAATAAATAATTTGGCATTCACAATATGATAGGAGAAATTTATAACCGAAGTAGAAAGGTTGGAAGATAAATATCTAAGCGTTGGCAAGAAATCTCCCAAAATATAGGGGAAAAAAAATCAAAACAATGGACAATAGGCAAGAATCAATGAGAAAATTAAGGGATCACTCAATTAGGGAGCTCTAATACATTAGCTCCAATATAAGGGCCTGTCAAGTGCCCAGCACAAAAAAAACAGGGGAAAAAATACTCACGTAATTATGAAATCTCAGAACTCTGGGGATAAAAAGATCTAAAAGTTTCAGGGGGTGGGGAGGTTATATGCAAAATGATCAGAAATGAGAGTGAATTGAGCTTCAAAATTCTGAAAGTGATTTCTAAATTATAATCAAGATTTTAATTTTTTTTTCCTATGCACACTTTCCAGGAAATAAACTTCCCTTTCCAGGAACGAACTTGAAAATACAGTCAATTAAAACAAGTGAGTAAACAGAGAAAGAGGAAATGGGCCCCTGCCTAATCAGCACCACGGACACTGGCCATATGTTCAGGGCACCCAGTAAGCTTTTTAGAACCTGTCTGCCCGGTATGAACAAAGTTGAAGGATCTCTAGACATCTGATGGCATCCAAGAAAGAGGAAAATCATGACAGAGAACGAAATTCTCCAGCAGGTTAGTGAAAAGAAATCCCAAGTGTTAGGTGCACAGGATGCCTCGAAAGTAACCTATCAGTGCAGGAGACAGAAGACCTGAGGAAGGGATGTTTCATAGATTGCTTAATGTACCTGACCATATTAAGAAGAGTTTTATGGAGACAGGGAGTTGGGAGGAAAAAAATTAATAAATGGAATAAAGAAAATGTAGTAAATAAAACGTGGGATAAGTGTCTACTCTAGAAAAATGTACAAGAGAAATAAAAACATCATAACCCATTGGGCTCAGCTCTAAACAATATTTACACAGTGACAATAATGTAAGAAAAAAACGCATTTTGATTCAAGCAAAAATTGTGATATCACTGTAGTAGGAGGTATGAAGGGAAGGGTATGTGTGTGTCTGTGTGTTAGAGGCAGGAAAGGTGATTTCTCATTTTCCATAGTAAGAAGTAAATGAATAACTTTGAAAAATAGATAACGGCATATTTTGACATGTAAGATAAAAGCCAGAAGAAATAGCTAAAATAGTTGAAGTAATTGCCTCTGGAGAGCCAGACTGCAGCTGGGGTGGAGAGTAAAGGAAGGCAGGGACTGTTTTTTGCTGCATATGCCTTGATGAAATCTTTTAAATTATGTGCATGTATCATTTTCATAAAAATAAAATGGAATTTAAAGAAAAAATATAATCAAGGGTATAAAAAGGGATATATGCATAATGATGTTTATCAATATATCTTTTAAAATATTTAGTTTTAAAAAAATCTAAATTTCCAAAATAGGACTAGTTAAATCATTTGAGGAGTCCATAAATTGGAACAAATACAGCTAATAAATTTTGTGTTTGTCAAGAATATTTGACATGGAAGGAAGTTCTTGACATAATATTAATTGAAAATGTAGGGCAGAAAATTATACTAACATGGTTTAAATTTTATAAATATGTATAAAATTCAGAGAAAAAAGTAAAGAAAATATATGAATCCATTAGCAATGCTAATTCTTGGCTGATAATTCTAATATTTTTCAGACCTCCAAATTTCCCAAATTTTCTACAAAAGAAGTGAACTACTTTTACAATCAAGGGGAAAGAGATGGCATTTAAAATAAACGAATTTATTGATATGGAAACAAATCCTACTAACTAAAACCAGGTCGAGTATAACCAGTATCTATTAACTCTGGAGGCATTATTCAGCATTGTGCATTATTATCAAAGGATAGATTATCTAGTTGACACCTTAGTCCTCAAAAGAGCGAGACCCTGGACAAGAACATTCCAGTGAGAGAGTGAAAAGGTGTTCAAATGATAACACTAGTGAGAGAGCAGGGGAGTAAAGGACAATGACAAAACTGAGAACAGGTGCCCCGTGAGCACTGCAGACCCATTTCACTGACCTCCGTGTCTACAGAGACCTCTAAATGTTTCTCTTTACACCCCATAAGTGAACTTTCAATATACCTCACATCCTTTCTGAGTCATAACGGTTTGTTGCTCGTAAAAAGTTTCAGGGCCTACTTTTAATATTTGCATCACCTAAGAGAGGAGGAGAATTTGGGCAACTCCAACCTAAGTTAGAAGGGAAAGAATAACAGAGATTCAAACACATTTTGACTATGGAGAATTTTAGCTTCTAAATGAGACAGCACAGCAGTTTCCTGGTAGTGCCTTGAGATTGCTAGAAATTCAGGGGAAGGTAGTGGGCAGGGAAAGAGTTCCCTGACTTCCTTACTTCAGTGAGAACCACTCTGTAGCTTGGATTTTGAGATGTCTTCCAGGAATTCATTTGAATCAAGAATTCTGCAACTAAGTACCAATTCTCCAAGCTCAATCATATATTATAGTATCAATCTATTAATACCTAGCAATCAGCTGCCTGTCTCCACAGCCTATAATCTGTGCTTATGTAACTCATGTACTCCATTTCATAAGTGTTAGCCTCCAGTTCATACTGAAGGTGACATTTTTAAAAATTAAATCAGGTGGGCATCTCACTGGAAGTGTCAAGAAGGAAGGAAGTATGAGTAATATGGTTGGTACCTGAACCCACCCCCTCTGCAAAATGATCAAATAAAACTTGAAAACTAGGAATATTGGCTAAAGTTGATATTATGACATCCATGATATAGACACTTCTCCATTGCTTATAAGTCCCTCCCACATGGATCCAAACCCTATTTCTCCCCGGTCCTCATCTTGATAGAATTATTCTCATTATAAGCTACAAATTAGGTCCATCCCATTTAGAACCAAGAGCTCTCCTTCCTCATTCAGAGCTCTAAGTATTCATTCTATAATTATTATATATTTCACATCATTTGTCTAATACTTTTAATACACACACTCTTCCAGAAATAATTTTTAAGTTAATTATGTCCTAGGATCACCTACCCATACAGTGTACCGAGGCTCCAAAGTACCACAGTCCTTTGCAAAAATGTAAGAACAGTTTCCTGGGAAGTAATAGTAGATGCCATCAAATGTTTCAAAGTGATACTGTCCCCAGGTTTTGCAAATCCCATCCCTGCCATTGCCCATGTTTGGGACTGAAAAGAAATAGGATAATGTTTAGTAGAATAAAATAAACCACACATGTTTCTAGCAATGTACAGTCATGTAAAGTGATTCTAATTTTCATTAAAATAAATATTTTCTTCTTTGGTGGCGTATATCACAAGAATAACTAACTAACATAAAATTACCCATTGCTCTCAAAACATCAGACTCCCCAGAAGAAAAACAGGGTCTCCAAGTAGTTGTGAAATAAGAATTTATGTTAGAAGCTCCCTTAATTTTTATTTCCAAAGGAAAACTCTAGAAGAAAGAATGATTAGGGAAAATGATGCATACAGTAAAAGAAGGTGATAGCGATAAAGCAAATAAAGTGGCTCAGAAAAGAAAGAAATGTCATGACTGAGTGTCTTAAAAATTAGCAGAGGCAGCATTAGACTATTCCAGTCTTTCAAAAATATCTTTATGGTATTCACAGAGAAAAATAACCACTGACCAAAAAAATCACATTTATGTCTGGGATCTAGGGGTGGGGAGCATTAGTCATTCAAAGTGTACTGAAATGTAGGAATTCATTACTTCAAACTGGCCAAATTTCAAGCAATTTTCATCTTAAATCACGCAACTTTATCTCCTCTTGTCATCATGCCCACTTTTTTTCTTACCTTTTAGATAGCCTTCTATTCAATTCTTATTTTCTAGACCCTTCCCTTTACAATGGTATGAAAATCAATAATATGTATGAGCGCTCAATATGTGTAAAACATTTTCATATACTCTATGGGGAGCAGAAAGATAAGGGACAATCTTCATGTCTTTTCTTTTCATAATTTTCACCTAAATGTATTAGTCTTGGCCAACTTTGGATTTTTCAGGAAAAATACAGTGATTCGTTATGCAAGCAGTCTTCCCTGATGGTATGGCTTACCACTGCTGCAATTTTCATAGCATCTGGTACTTTCCTTTATAGCACATGTCACAAATTTAATTATTGTGTATTGGGTATTCGTCCCCTCCTCTAGACTACAACTTCCAAGAAGTAGGGACATATCTATATTCTTCACCATTGTATCCACGGTGCCTAGCCTGGGACCTAGGAGATGCTCAACAAATATTGGTTAAACAAATGAATCGTTATTGATCATCGTTGACATAGAATCCTATCTTAGACACTGTGAATAAAAATTTTTCTTAAAAAATCTATTGCCCTTGAAGAATTCTCAATACTATCTCTATTTCATGAATAAAATGTTCATTTAACTGAAAGTCAAAAAAGAATGAGTGGCTCCCAAAAACAAATCTAATTGATAAAGCAAAAGAGAGATGAATGAGAACCTGATTTCAATAGGTCACTGCTATATTAAGTAGGAAGAAAATGCCTAAGGAAATAGTAGAGATCCATGAGAAGAGGAATATGCATATCTATTTTTCTTTTACGTTGTGTGTAAATTACATCAAATTACTGAGAATGAATCATGGGCTCTTTAGTGACTACACGATGTGATTGTCCCAACTCCCAGTGGATGAACTCTACTATAGCGAATTATGCCTTAATGTTCTCTTCAGTATCTCATAATTCTCTCATAAATATCCCTGAAACTTACCGATCTGGCACCTTGTCCCAAGAGCCTGAAATATTTGACAGTCACATATACCAGCCTTAGAACAGAAAGCTCCGTTAAGGCATTCATAAGGACAAGAACCTGAGGGACAAAAAAAGTTATCTTCTGGCATGCATCAGTTCTTATAAGCATAGTATGTCAAGATCTAGCTAAGACTAACTGTAACCACTATTAACTTAAACAGAACCCCAGGCCTTTTGCCCTACTGAGCTAAAGAACTAAACCCATCAAGTCTCTATCTACTTCATTTCATTATGTGTGCTGTGAAGCAAGAAAGACAGGCTTTCACATCTCAAACTACCCGGAGAGCAAAGGTTAGCCTCCTTCCAGCAATTGAAAGGTCAAGTTCCCATGTAAGGAATCCCTGTCCCAGATGATGAGAACCAGAAATACACAAGCTGCAGATGATTCCGTTGACAGAGTTTGGCACTGGCTGCACATCCGATCAGCTCCTTTTCCAGGAGCAAGCACTGTATTGAAAAATAGTACCTACCATTCACTCGAGGGATCAGGCAAAGTACAAAACACAAAAGGAAACAGCCACTTTTAAAGAGAAGAATTAAACATTTCATTTCTAGTTTTTGTATTAATCCTCAGGCTCCATTACAGATCTCACATTCTTTGAAACCTATGCTTAATTTTGACGAGGCAGAGGCCAAAGTCACTGCTGGTTGTCACCCAAAAATATTCTTTCTTTCATGAAAAGAAAAATTGTCCCAATGGATTATGTTAAAAAGAGGAAGCAAGTAACTATGAGCTCTAACCCTAATTTTGCCATCATCCCCTGAGTGAGTTTTAAAAGTGCAAATGAATCACAGTGAAAAAATTTTACGCTAATAAGGAGAGGACAAGAAGCAACTGGCAAAACTCAAGCAGGAAGAATTTAAGTTAACACATCAGGGGAACTAGAAAACATCTCTGGAGTCACCATAAAGTATTACTAAAGAAGTTGGCTCTCTCTGGAATATGTCAAGTTCGTGGAAGATACTTATCTAACCGATAATTTAACTGCAGTTCTTCCAAGAATTAGAAAACCCCTATGATTCCTTTCTACCTTAAGACCTATCGATCTAAAATGGCTCTTTACTTTTAAAAACATACACATCACTAAGTATATTTTAAGTGAGAAAAAATAAGCTGCTTTAGCTTAAACCATAAATATAGGTGAAAAATGGTATTTTTCATAAACTCAAATGCAGTTTTTTCCCCCTAAGGGGCACATCTATCTTTAAAGTTTATCTTAGATCACAATCTTTCATTTTTCCAATGAATACATGTCTAAATATTTAGGTAAACAAATGTATCTCTTTCAAAAACATATTTACAGTCCTGTGTTTTCTCCTGAAAACAAATAACAAAGCCAAACTGATAAGAATTATTAGTATTTTAAACACAATAAGAATTTCTATTTCATAGTTACCACTCAAATTACACTTCAAACTAACCGCATTCCGCTTAATGGAAATGTGAGATTGTTAAGGAAAAATAGGGATGTCAAGGAATCGAGGAACTAGTAATTGATTCAGAAAAAAAAAAAGCTTCTATTACACAGTGATACCTTCCCTGATCACGTAGTTATCAGTTTTGTCTAAATGTTTAGCCCTGGTTATTTACAAAAATAATTCAAGTTTCTATATGAAGTGAACTTAAATTATTAGTAAGTATTATTAACACCTTGGCTCAGTTTCCTTCATCTGGAATATGGAAGCAATAATGAGTTGATTCAATATAGCCCCCAAAGAGATCTTTTGAAAAGCAAATGCAAAAACATAGGTATAAACACTGACCTTTTATTTTGCTCTCACCCCAATTAATAGCTTCATGGAAAAAATATCTTGGAGAAGTTGCTTCAAACTTTGAAAGAAAGAAAAGAATTCAAGATAGTTACTTAAATCAAGCCAAACATGCAAATTGGAAAATCTGACAAATAGCTACAAATACAGAAATTATAAAGTGCTGGCTTTATATTTCCTTGGGTTATTGAGGCTGTCTCCATGGGGCAGAAAGAGCTCCTCTGATGGTGTGGTTGGGAAGACCTCATTTCAAGCCTTGCTTTGGCTTCTTAAGTGACTTTGACAAGGCATTTACCTTTTCTGTTCGCTGTCTTCACTTCCCTTCCTCCTCCCCCTGCCCATCACATGCCTTGTGAAAGGAGCCTGGTTGGAGTCTACTCTTTAGATTAACTGACTGCTTTGCCTGCAGAAGTAGCACTTCTCTGACACTTCAGGTGCAGATAGGTCTGGAAAAAAAAAATGCCTGGGGCTGATGGACCAGCAAGACAGCAGTGTCCTGCCCGCCTGCACACCAGTCTGCAAAGATTCCACCCACAGAAGCATCTGCTGTTTCAGTGTCAGTGTGTCACCTTCAGCCTCCAAAGAGCTGACACCTTAAAGTTCATAGAACATCTGAATATACCTTTTGTAGAGCCCAAGGTAGTGGTTAAGAGCATGACTTTTAGAACCAGAGCTGGATTAGAGTCCTGACTATGTAATTACTTTCTCTTAGGCGAGTTTCCTAACCTCTTAGTGCCTCTGTTTACTCAGCTGTAAAATGAGAACTGGCACCTACTTAATTGTGTAGTAATGCTAATGAATTAAATCAATGTATGGAAAGCTTTCAGCATAGCACCTCACAAAGAAAATTAGCAACAAAAAGATTTATATTAATCTAAGCAATTCAAATGAAACCTTAAGATTTATAGAGGTCAGTATTGCTTAGTAGCAAATAATTGTGGATTACTAAAACTAATCAGTCATAGATTTTTATTCCAACTCCAATGACAATTGAGTATATGGTCTCTCAATATCCTTTCCAATAGTAATTACATGTTCATTAGAATAAACACACTCAAAATTTGCCACGTAATTGTCAAAATTAAGTAGCAGATGATGTTAGAAAAACTGGAGAAGGTTGAAGGACAAGAAGGAAGGGGAGATGAGGCACGTGACTCCAGGAACGAAGTCCTTTCTCACCAGATTCTGGTCTCCCTCATCCATGTCAAGTTTTATTTTGGCAATTTCCATTTCAACAATTTTTCTGTTAACAGGAAAACCTATTCCCACACTATATAAAAGGACTCTCGCACTCTCTCACCATTTGAAGATCTGTTTCTAAACTCTGTCCCACATCACAGCTTCAAGTCCATTGTTTTCTATTCTCAACACTCCCAGGTTTTACCCTCACTGCTCATTCTCCCATTTTTGTCCTTGCTTCTGTCCTCAAACTAAGTTAGACTCACAACAGTCATGACCTTGATTTCCCCAAGACAACAAGTCTCCTTCTCTCTTCAGCCATGCTGTTTCTGGCTGCCTAAATCTAACACAGCCATTTATATTACTGACACCAAAATCTTTCTACTTCGGCTCCAAAATAGTTTACGCCAATCCCTTCAGTCGAAACCAATCATCTCTGCTGCTCACCAAAAATGTATAGTGACTTCAACCCTGCCTCATACAGGCCTATGACTTTGAACAAATTATTCAACCTACTCAGCCTCAGTTTCCCAATCTGTAAAATGAAATAACTGTCACTGCCTAACAGAATTATGAGGATTAATGAAATGATATATCAAGAATAGTGACAGGCACAGAATCAGGGTTGTAAATATGCTACCTGTTTTTATTATTAGGCAAAAGCTGCATACATTGCATAACACTAGATCGAGGCAAAAATACATAATTTGTTTTTTGCTCCATATCCTCTCACTCAACTCAATACACACATCCTTTATGGAAATGAGAGTGACTACCTAGAACACTAGCTTCCTGGTTGGCACCAAATCCTATTTACCCCAGGATCCCATGCATCATAATACCTTTCACCAATGCTGAGATGTGACATACAGTTTCTGTTATTTTTTTATATATATTTGAACTTAGAATGACATCTTACCTTTATAATTGGGAGCATTTTTAATTTTTATGTCATATAAATAATGGCAAATAATTGATGGCGTCTTAGATTCAATGAACCAATTGCACAGAAATGACTTCTTTACAGGCCTACCTCTCTAGACACAGAGTTTCAAAATCATAAGCACTACTATTCTTGTTTATATCCTAGCATTATTCCAGGTACGTCATCAACAAATACGAACTGAACAGGGAAGAGCCAAGATGGCAGACGAGATAAGCTGCCAGTCAGAGTGTCTCTGCAAAAACGACAAATTTTAGAAGAAAGAGAAAAAAATAAACTAGCAGAGAAACATAGATCGGGTGAGGGTCAGAAGGAAGGGTGCCTGAAACTACAGGAGACACCACGGGAAGACGTTGCGGAGGAGAACTGGAAGGAGAAAGGTCCCGAGAGGCTTGGAGACCAGCGACAGGGGTAGGTGGAGCGGTTAACTTCCCCCTCCCTCTCGGACTGCTGGTGGCTCCTGAGCAGCTGGAGAGACCTGCCGACACCAGCCCAGAGACGGCTGCTGCCAGTGAGCAGTGGCCTCTTGCAGACTCAGCGCCGGGCTCCCAGCCCCCTGAAGGCACGTCCCTGGGCGCAGACCCAAGCCTATCGGCAGATGCCATAGTGCTCCATTCTCTCCTTCCCCCTCCCTACACGTGCCTGCCCAGAGAGACAATTTAGCCATCGCACGGAGGCGTCCCCAAGGAACGGGACCTTTCCCTACAGTAGACTGAGGGGTACTCAGACTGCGAGCTCCCTACCCGCCAGCGCTCCCAGGTGCTGCTTGCCTGGGGACTCCAGGAGAGTGGGGCAAATCCCGAGGTGGAGTGAAATAGATCCAGCTTGGGCACCCTATAGGTGATTCAAGACCAGCACCCCTCCCCCTGGCAGGGTCAGGGATTGATCTCGAGGGTCCAGGGGACAGCCCTGCAGACCAGACCCCATACACCCAGGTCACGATCGCACTGCCCCGGGGCACAGAAGGGAGACCTGTGAAAGAGCCTACTGAGGAGTGTGCACCTTCAGGGGCAGATCAGCATGCCAGAGCCGCAACCCTCCTCCTAAAAGAGGGCTGTGCACCCAGCTCAGGCTACAATCCTGGGTAGGGAACCCCCCGGCCCACATCACAGCCAGGGGAGATCCATCGGCCTGAGGCCCCGCTTGCTGGCAGAGGCCTGGGAGAGGCCACAAAGAAGGGGAGGGTGGAGGGGAGCAAGACCTGCTCCAGAGTGCCGGTCTCGGACAGCCCCACTCCCAAGCCCAGACTTTCAGCTGAGTGGAGCCATTTCAGCCCCTCCCGGCAGCTTTGCACAGAAACAAAGAACAGACCTTTGACCCCTGCTAACAGCAGTTGTGGAGCCTGAGGGCAGACGTACCCAACCCAGCCCCACCCAGACTCACTTCCAGTCCTGCCTCCACTGAGGTGGAGAATAAGGACACACCTGAAAGTCCCAGGGCCCCACCCACCACCCGAGGCACAAGAGGGCCTCTCTAGAGGAACAAGAGCTGGCTACAGGACCCAAAAACAGCACTGCAGCTCCGTCCTCCCAGCAAGTGCCACCGACTGACAGGGAGGTCATCCTGCACACACTTTTACTGCATTTACTGATTCATCATAAAGAGTGTGGTTGAATCTCACCCACAAAACCACCTACTGGCTCAGAGACTAAACTGGGCGTGTCATTATCCAAACGAAAATCTAAAGGCAAGAAGGAACAACTGATCCAGATGGGAAGGAACCAGC